AGATGCATGGCGTGTTTGTGATGTCCATGGAAGGCATGTTGTTTAAGCTTTTCTGCCAGTTTTGGAACCAAATCTGGGAGTGAAACTTGAACGTTAGTAATTGAATCATAGGAGATATAACTAATCTCTTCTGACAGCAAAATGTGTTAATAGGTTACCCAAAATGTGAAATACATAAAATAACCTCATGTTGATTAGAATAACAGAAATCAGTTTCTGCCATGTGATAGTAATATAACTGTGGAATAGTAATTGGACAAATCGTTAAAGCATTACTGAAAAAGAAGAATGCTGTGTCAAATTTGAGTGCTCAGCAAATGCTCCTCCACATGTTTGGCTTTGAAAAGGCTTTTCACCTGTGCCCTCGAATGTTGCCTGTTAGGATCCAGACACCGCTGAAGCTTTTCCCACATAATCTGCACTTAAATGGTCGCATGTGTATTTGAAAATAGACTTTTAGCAGCAAAGGACAGTTGAAGGCCTTCCTACAAACTGTGCAATTGTAGCAGTGTGCGAACCTGTTGTTGTGCTTGAGAAGCTACTCCACTGCTCTAACGGAACTTTCTTGTTGGCATTCTTGGATAGAGGCTTTTTTTACCGTGCATGGGTTGTCTTTAATCATCACTTGTGGATTATCTTTAATCATTGCTTCATGTGGGACTAAAAACCAGTAGAAAAGTGTCTGTATTCAGTTACAAAGTTAAGAAGCTCAATGTCCTTATTGCAGCGAAATGGGGATTCTGCCGGAAAAACAATGTGCTGCTGTATAAAGTGGCTGCCTTTGAGACAGGTACAGATTTGTTAGACCAAAAGTGCAATTAACTCAATGGACAAAATTTTTGTACTGACCTTGTAAGACTTTGTAAACGGATAGGCAGTAATTATCCTGAACTTGTTCGAGATTGCAGTATTATGTGAATACTAAATACCAATTTCATTACATGGAAGCCCCAAGGATCTTTCCTGATGTATTTATCACATCAAATGAGTATAGATAACAGTATCCATGACCCTGTTTTCATCCTTGATCCAGCAGTGACGTCTTCTCTTTCTTCCCAAGTTATACGGGATAACAAGCCCAGAGTGGCTTTTAGGTTTAACGATAGGAAGAACTTGCTGCTTTTCATGTGTTGATGGTGGTCCACATGTTGAACATTGATATGTTCAGTTTGCTCTTCAGTCAGGATAACATTGACAGTTTCAAAAGCCACTGCCATGATGTTGTGTTTGTAGAGGTTGTTATAGGTTACCCAAAATGCAAAATACAAACAATAACATGTTGCTTAGATTGATAAAAATCAGTTTCTGCCATGTGATAGTAGTATTACTGTGGAACAGTAATTCAGGTCAAATCTTTAAGGTATTTCAGAAGAGAATGCAAAATAACCAGAACCTATTAGGAGTTGCGTAGGCTACCAGTAAGAGAATACAAAGTAACCAGAACCTATTAAGAGTTGCATAGGCTACCAGCTGTAAAGGAAATGAAGCAGAAAATTGACTCACAAAGGTGGTACTTGATTTTGTATTCCATATGATATCAGTTAAAGAAGGTGTGCAGTACATGAAATAAAGCAAGGTCTATGATAATTGTAAATAAACTTTAAGTACAGAAAGTTCCAAAGCTCCGAGCAAAAGGAACAAAACAAATATTTCATCTGAAACTCTCAAATTTCATCAGTGTTGTGATGGGGTAAACAAACTGGAAAAGTGAGTGTCCTGATGTTGAAATCAGTGTGGCGGAAACAAATTTTTATTGTCGTGTGGTGGCAGCGAAATGGGCTGATAGGTTACCCAAAATGTGAAATAAACGAAATGACATCATGTCACGTAGAATAATAAAAACCTTTTTGTAGGCCAGGATACCATTTGAATAATTATTATTTGTATACTGATAACAACAGTTCAGTTACAGAGCCAGAAGAGAATTCAAAGTAACCAGAACCTATTAAGAGTTGCATAGTGTGAAAACAGGTTTTGCCTTTACAAAGGGTAAACTGAGGGACAGGGAAAAACTCTAAAACTCTCTGGGAAAGGCCATTTCCTGGGGACACTCGCTGGCTGAGGGAAGGCATGGAATCTCTTACGCCTGCTTAATACCCTTGAGACAATGATCACAACAGAACTTGGCTCCAAGCGTGTTCAGTCACAACATTACCAAAGAAAATCTTACAAAACACTGGTATATAATCGAAGGTGATGATGCGGTACAGATTAGGTCACATACTAGCGAGGTAATATTGTCCTTTATCTATTACTGAATTGTTAATAACTTATAAATAGCCTGTAATCCCAGTCCCTCTGAAACAAATGTAATTTTATTTTTAGTTGTAACTTATGTAAGCACATTGTAATTCATAGTTTTTATGCCACCATGTTATTTTAATAAACCATCATTATTATTATTATTATTATTTAATTACAGAACACAACAATAATTTTAAAAGACTAAAGAATAAATGATTTCTACATTGGCTTTTCATATTTTTACCAGCGAAAGCAAAATAACTGAATAACAATAAATCCTCTCTTCATGTACCAGAAAAATTAAGAAAATGCACAGCAAATTAAAATATTGCAACTAACGTTTATGTTGAAATTTTATATTTGATTTTCTGTTTTTTTTTGAAATTTTGTATTTGTTTTTGTGCCTGAATCGCGGCATTAACCAACTAGCCGAGATATACTGGCCTCGGGGGTACAATGAAAAGCAAGAAAGACATGAAAGTTGAAAAAGTGAAAGTCGAATTACATTAATAAACTAAAAACATAGAGTAAATAAGTCAAGGAGAATGTCATGAACAGAATATTAATAAAAAAGTAATTGCAACGTATAAAATTACATAGAATGTCACAGTTCTCTCCAGAAGAACCCAGTTCCGTGAAAGAGAGAAGGATAAAGATGGTGCGCCGCGGCCACAATCTTGGGTGCACGGGAACAATATTGTAGGTATAAATAATAAGCAAAGTTCTCGTGGTTGTTGGTTAGAAGGTCGTAGATTGCTAAGAGAAAGTCCAAGGAAAGTATGATTCTTGTAAGGTCAGGAGAGCATAAGTGGCAATCTTCCGCTCGAAATAGTCCTTTTCCAGTAAGAGGTAGGGGTCATGTCGACGACCAACAAAAAGTGGTACGTCGTCCGATTGACATTAAACTTGTAGAGATAAAACTCACCTTGACGATAGCTGAATCCTTGTTTAACGATTTCGTAGTCTAAGCTATCCTGAAACGTGAGGTCTGTCAAATGAAGTAACGCCTTAGTTGAATTAAAATCCCAGGTAAACTGGGACTTGGATTGTGTATACATCTCGCAGTGGTCATATTTGTTAATATGATTGGCCCTCCATAAGGACAGGATCGCGGACTCCGTTTCGGCGGGAACAGCGTAGAAATCAGTGCTGGTTTCAAGAATTGCTTCTTTAGCCATGTTCGCGATAAAGTGAATAAAACCATTGAGAACTTTTAAACAATTGTATGTAAATTCGCGCAAGTTGAAATTTTTTGATCCACCGCTTGGAGCGCGTCCTATGTTAATTTGCGCAACATGCAGTCTTTCATCCACTGCGCCTTTACGTCCACCTATTGCGTGAATGCATGAATGGCTGTATGGGTGGCTGCATGAATGGCTGCATGGGCAGCTGTATGGGTGGCTGCATGAATGGCTGCATGGGCGGCTGCATGAATGGCTGCATGGGCGGCTGCATGAATGGCTGCATGGGCGGCTGCATGAATGGCTGCATTGGCGGCTGCATGAATGGTTGCATGGGCAGCTGTATGAATGGCTGAATAGGCTGCATGAGCGCAACATTCAGTCTTTCATCCACTGCGCCTTTACGTCCACCTATCGTGTGAATGCATGAATGGCTGCATGGGCAGCTGCATGAATGGCTACATGAGCAGCTGCATGGGCATGTTTAATATGCTGACATCAATGGTAGGTGTCTGCAAGCTTTTTCACCATTTGTTAAGTTGAGCCCGCATTGCTTTAATTGTCTCGTCACAATCCAATTTCTTTTGCAATTCGTTATGCATTTGCTCCTTTCTAAGGTGACTGTACAGTCCCAATGGGAAGCGTTTCTTTGAATGTGCCCTAAAAGAGCATTGGTTTTTTTCAGTTAAACGAGGACAAAGTGTGGGAATAAATATACAGACATATCAAGCAGATGTCAAACTAAAATCGTATGGTTTTCGATTTTCAAATAAACTTCGACAAACAAAGAAAACTGCAAAGGAAAACCTCACCTTGGGGACTCTTCAGGATCATCAAGTTCGGTATTTTCTTCTCCAATCATGCTCTAATTGTTTGCCGCTACTACAACCAATATGGCTCCATGACACACCATTGGAAAGCTTGTGAGCCGAACAAGTTGAAAATGCCCGCCTGTAACCTGTATTTGGTACCAGGCCCCAGAAAAACTGCTTTTTTGCAGCCCCCCTTGAAATGGCCAGCACACCCAGAGCCCTTTGTGCGCTTGTTTGGCCGCCATCTTGAAATTTTTTCCCAAATTCTGATGAAACATTTAGGGGGTGGTTTGGCCCCTACATGAATTAACCCTCCATATTGTTTGACTGAATGATCGACTGCACATTTTGGTTTTCAACATTCGAACATTTCTTTCTCTAATGCTTTCATGTGTGTTTTTCTCTTCCACTTCAAGTTTTCTTTTTATATTTTTATATTTTTCCGTGCATGGTCTCGGTTTTAAGGGATTAAGTGAAAATGTTGCTTCCGATTAAGTGGCCATCTTGTTTTCCATTCAGGGGATTACCATCTTGGTATTGTTTAGGTAATGAACCCGCGAATGTTTGACTGCACGTTCTTCCTAGCTCCTTTGTTTGTCCTTTTCCGAAGTCAATAACGTTTCACTCAGTTAATAACTTTGACAATGCTGATTTCTTCTCGTCACTGATTTTGTGCTAAATCTTCTTCGGTGATATTGGGGAACGATAAAAACTCGGCAAACAGAATATTTCTGTAGACTTGTTCAAAATTGTATAATGCTCTGACAGGATTAAATTCGCGATAATTCATAAAATTTATGAAATCGTCTATTAATAATCTTAGAGTTCCCAAACGAATATTGCAATGGCATTCAACGTTGTTAAAGACCCAATCTGTGTAGGAGCACAGAGGAAGACATCTAAGATCACGCAGCGTTTGTCTACAAGAAGAAAACACAACATCATTACTTCTCATAGAGGCTACCGTGCGCGAACATGGCAAAACAAATTCAAATATCGCAAACTAGTAGCGTAATTCTAGACAACGTTTGATTCTAAACGAGCCACCGCGTGGTTCGGAAACACAAAACTAATTCAACTTGAATTCTTTCATGACCTACCGGAATTTCTTTTCGTATTCTTTTTTACTTGCATGTTGTAATGTACGACCAAACCACACCATGTTGAGTGTAACAACTGATTTAATTAGTTACCCGTCATGCCTAGTACAGGCATGGCATTAACATACATCACATCTCTCTTTCTCCAACAAAGACCGAACTAATAATAAACAATGGAAAATAACACACACACAAAAAAAAAATAAATAACAAAATCAGTTCGAAATCAGTTTAAAAACTCGTAAGTTCAAATTCACAAATTCGCATTCAGCATTCAACGTTCCATTCAATTGCTCCATTCCCTTCAAGTGTAACAGTCCTTTAGGTATGATGGGGTCTTAACCAAACGTCCCGACCTGGTCACTGTAACAGGTTCTTCTGCAGCCACTACTGGCTTAGCGGCTTGGCTTGGCTTAGCTACTGGCTTAGCGGTTTCCCTCTGCACGTTAGTTGGAGGTAAGGTTATCTCAGTCTGCTCTGGTCTGGCCTCAAATTTCTGTTCTCCTGGTGCCCTGTTGATATACTCAAATTTCTGTTCTCCTGGTGCCCTGTTGCGATTGAGGTGTCGTCTGTTTCTGCGATATTTCCTTCCACTTGCTGTCTCAACTACGTAAGATCTAGGAGTGTGATGTTTGTATGACACTACAGCCGGTACCCACTCGTCTCTGTGTTTCATCGTGACAGTATCTCCAGTTTGAAGTGATTCCAACTCCCGTCCACAGTGTCGATCAAAATAATGTTTTTTGCGTTTCTTTCACTTTTTGAGCTTCCGACTACTTCTTCCTGTCCTTGCGGTCTCAACAATTCTGCAGTGGTAGGTAATGTTGTTTTCAGGCGCCGACCCATCATCAGTTGACCTGGGGACTTGTTAATTGCGTCAAGTGGCGTGGTTCGATAGCTAAGCAGGGCTTTATTTATGTCGACGGACTTTGACATCAAGTTTTTGGTTGTTTGAACTGCTCTTTCAATTTGTCCATTTGATTGCGGGTAGTGAGGGCTGGTTGTTGTGTGCGTGAACTCATAGTCCTTTGCAAACTCCGCAAACTCGGCTGCTCCGAACTGAGGCCCATTGTCGCTTATGACTTCATCGGGTATACCATATCTTGAGAAGTGCTTCTTCAGTGCATTAACTGTCGCCTTACTGCTTTGGTTTTCGAGTTGGTCTACTTCCATCCACTTAGAATAATAGTCAACAGTACACAAGTAGTGATGACTGTTCATTTCAAACAAATCTGTGCCTATTTTTGCCCATGGCCTGTTTGGGGAATCATGTGGTATCATTGGTTCTTTGGCTTGCTGTCTCTGGTGCTGACTGCATGTATAGCACTTGGCTACTTTGTCTTCAATTTGCATCGACATCCCTGGCCAGAACAGCACATCTCTCGCCGCTGTTTGCACCTGACAACCCCAAAGTGCCCCTCGTGTATTTTTTGTCTAACATTTCTGACTGCAGGGTGTGAGGCACTATCACTTTTGGCCCTTTAAACAGCAGTGCATCAATGACTGAAATTTCGTCTTTTACGCCCAGTACTGTCGGAGGTCTGGGGACAGCTTTGCTTTGCTATCTGGCCATCCCTCTAGTACTGTGTCAGTTAGGGACTGCAATACTGGGTCTGCTGCTGTAGCTTGTTGAAGCTCTAGATACTTTTCCTGTGAGATGGGAAGATAAGCTGTGAGACACACGTCACTGACTTCTAAGTCCTCCACGAGCGTTTCTTTGGTTTCTGGCAAGTAATGGCGACTAAGGGTATCTGCTAGTTGCATTTCATTCCCAGGCTTGTATGTAACCTTGAGGTCATACCTTTGTAGGCTCATCATCATCTTCTGCAATCGCGGAGGTGCCTGATGAAGATTCTGTGCTAAGATCCTCTCGAGCGGTTTATGGTCAGACTCCACGTGCACTGTTCGTCCATAAACGCACTGATGAAACTTCTGGCAGGCGTAAACTATTGCAAGTAACTCCTTCTCAATCTGTGCAAACTTCTGCTGCGCAACAGTCAAGGCTCTAGAAGCATATGCAATCGGCTTGTTCTCTTGTAGCAATACTGCACCAAGTCCGTTAGCACTAGCGTCAACGTTGAGGGTGACAGGCTTGTTTGGGTTGTAGTAGCCCAGTACGGAGATTTGGTTACCATCTGCTTGAGTGTTTGAAAACTTTGTTGCTGTTCTTTGTTCCAACGCCAGACTACTCCTTTCTCCAATAGTCGCCTGAGAGGTGCACTTTCAGCAGCTAGATTAGGCAGAAATTTTCCAAGGTATTGGATAAAACCTAGGAATGTTCTGAGTTCTTTAACATTCTGTGGTGGTTGCATCGCTTCGACTGCTCTGACCTTCTCTGGGTCCGGTTTCAAACCCTCACTGGTCAGGAGATGTCCTACATAGGGGACATGGTCTTTCCTCACTTGGCATTTCTTGCTATTTAACTTGAGACCAACCTCTCTCGCTCTGTTTAGGACTTGTCTCAACCTTGCATCGTGCTGGTCAGTACTGCTGCCCCAGATCAGTATGTCATCCACAATTGCTCCTGCAATGGGCTCTGCTCCAGGTATGCCCTCCAACATCTCGGTCATGTATCTCTGGAACACCTCAGGGGCCGATTTGATTCCGAAAGGGAGCCTTTTAAATCGATACCTCCCGAAGGGGGTGTTGAACGTGCACAACTTCGAGCTTTCCTCGTCTAATTCTATTTGCCAGAATCCCGATGTTGCATCCAACACAGAGAATACTTTGGCATCTGGCATGTCTGCAACTATCTCTTCAATCGTCTTCATAGGGAAGTGTTCTCGTTTAACAGCTAGGTTTAAATCTCTAGGATCTAAACAGATGCGAATCTTATTCGGCTTGACCACAGTAACCATACTGCTAACCCATGCTGTTGGTTCGATTTGCCTCTCTATCACTGAGTAAATCGAGTTGAATGACCCGTTAGAGTAGCCATCCATCGTGAAAAAGAGTTCCGTATCACGTTTAAGAAGAAATGGAGGAAATGTCATCGGCAAATACACCAAAAATGGACTGGAACAGCAAGGATTTACCGACTGCGTGGAAGTCGTTTCGACGCCATCTTGAATTTATGTTTGGCGGACCGTTAAAGTCGAAATCGGAGGAACAGAAATGCAATTATCTCATGATTTGGGTAGGAGAAAAGGGAAGAGACATATATCAGACCTGGACGTTTGGAGATGGAGAGGAGAAAAAGCTTAACAGCTACTACGAGAGGTTCGAAGCCCATGTGAAGCCGAAATCGAATAAGGTATTTGCTAGATACAAGTTTCACAAGAAAGTTCAGGGCGATAATGAGCCATTCGAACAGTTTCTTATTGACCTCAAGCTGCTAGTGAAAGATTGTGGATATGCAGATCCAGACGAAATGGTCAGGGATAGAATTGTCATTGGTTGCAACTCCAAGAAAGTGCGAGAAAAGTTGATACAAGACGGATCTGAATTGTCGTTAGAGAAAGCGGTTGAAATTGCACTCACACTGGAAATGTCTCAAACGCAACTCAAAACCATGGAGGATTTAAGACAGCAAGATTCACGCTGTTAAAGTGAATCAAGCTCAAGGCAGAGTGAGAAATTGGACAAGAGGAAACTTGGCAGACCGGGAGTTGAACAGGAGTGTGGAATGTGTGGCTACATACACAGCAGTAAAGCAGAATGTCCGGCTAAGGGAAAGAAATGTCTGATTTGTGCCAAGTTAAATCATTTTGCCAAAGTCTGCAAGTCAAGAGAGAAGAGAAGAACTGTCCGATATGTGGAAAAATGCGGAAGTGGCGATGAAGCTCGGACAAAAGAAACCAGCAGCGAAAGTGAAGATGACATGTTTTATGTGGGTTGTATAGATGCAGTAAATGCAGTTAGCCTCAGTGAATGGCGCGAAGAGCTGACCGTCAACAACAAGAAAGTTATTGTTCAGTTAGACACTGGAGCGAAATGCAATGTTATGTCTTTAACGACGTTAAAGACTCTAGGAGGGGAGACAACAATTCAACCTACAGCAGCCAAGTTAAGGTCATACTCTGGCCACCAGATACCTATTCATGGTTGCACAACACTCTTATGCGAACACAAGGACAAAACGTACCCCATGAAGTTTTACATTGCAGAAGGTGATGTGCTGTCCGTCTTAAGTGCACAAGCATGCAAGGATCTCAATTTAGTCCAGCGGGTGAACTCTGTCATAGACTCGTCGGTTATTACTGATGCACGTCCAGATATTCTACTAGAATATCCAGATCTCTTCCACGGGCTTGGATGTTTACCAGGTAAACATACCATCAGAATTGACCCAACAGTCATCCCAGTGGTACATCCACCAAGAAAGGTACCGGTTGCACTGAAGGGCAGAATCAAAGATGAGCTTGAAAGAATGGTGAAAGCAGGAGTGATAGAGAGGCAAATCCAATGGACGTATTGTCCGCGTGGGTTCGAACCCCACTCCTGGTACCATGTAATGTACGACCAAACCACACCATGTTGAGTGTAACAACTGATTTAATTAGTTACCCGTCATGCCTAGTACAGGCATGGCATTAACATACATCACACATGTCTTGCCTCTTCAAATTCACGTGCTTCGAGCTTGATTCGCACACTGTGGCAAGGTAGCAGGTTTTCCCGGGCGGCTTCACCTGTATTAGGAACGGCCAACAGGGCTAATGCTTCTAATTTATCCGGAGATCTGGACTCTCTGGGCTCTCTGTGAAGTGGTGGTAGAGGTCTTAAGGGTGAGAATGTCATCTTTGTAAGCAACTGACGTAGAAACACAATTTAGACCTGCACACAACTTTCACTAACACCGTTAAGTGAAATTTCATTGTAGCGTTCTTCCTATACATCTAGCACACTTTTACTCATTCACTGGTTTATTTCGCTTTCCCTTGGGTCCTCCATCTTTCTGATTTGTTCACCTTGTTCCTTGTGCTTCCAACACACCCTAAAATTTAAATACAGCACTTGTAGTCTATTGTTTTACACCATTTCGCAATCTGACTGTAAGCAACTACTATCTGTCGCACCTTCAGAACGGAGAAACATCGTGACGTGATCGGCAAGACATCGACGGAATCATTGTTATAGATAATAAGATGCGCATGTGTTCGTGGTTCGCGGGGTTTTGAACAAGCAACCTTAGAATCTATATAGCTTAGACTTATAAAAAAATTCACAAAATTTTTTTCAGAAGTGGTGGCTCCTTAAGGAGCCGGTCTTTTAATGGTTCGTTCCTTTAATAAGGAAACGCGGTGACGATATTAAACTGATCAGCGTCGCAAGGTCGGTAGGTATAAAAAGTATCAATGTGTTTGGTAAACTGTTCAGCTTCGATTGAGTATCCGATGATCCGATCGACATTAACCTTGTAAAGATAAAACTCGCCATGACGATAGTTGAATCCTTCTTTAACGATTTCGTAATGTGAGCTATCCTGAAACGTGAGCTCTGTCAAATGAAGTAACGCCTTGGTTAAATTAAAATCCCGGGTAAACTGGGACTTGGAATGTGTATACATCTCGCAGTGGTGGTATTTGTTAATGTGATTGGCACTCCATAAGGTCTGGATCGTGGACTCCGTTTCGGTGGGAACAGTGTAGAAGTCAGTTGCCCTTGGATTTTTTATTCGTGATAAACTGCACGTTTTTCAATATTCATTGTAGCTGTTTTTACCGCTTCAAGCAAACACACTTATTTTCCTGCTTTTCCGACAACATTTATTTCATGTTGTTTTCGCTATTTCCCTAAAACATTTATTTCATGTTGTTTTCGCTATTTCCCTACATTTATGTCATGTTGTTTCGCTCTTTTCCCTACACCATTTATTTCATGTTGTTTTCGCTTTCTCCCAAGTCAATAACTTTTCACAGTTATTTTACAATGCACTTTCTTTATTTGTGAACTTAAAATACAAACGGGACGTGTCAGTCATCTAGTATGATTGGCCCAAAATTAAAAAAGTACACGTGGATATAACATCAAACACTTTTGCTCAAAAACCAACTTGTACAGAAAGAACCCTTTGGTCTCTTTGCATTCGTAGGCTTTCGGGAACTGTTCATAGCTGAATCCAGATGTAATTAAAGAGTTTGTCTTGATTGGAGACCAGGAACGGCTGGTCCAACACCAAATTATTGTTCTCAGAGGGGTGATGATACTGTAGGGCTCCGGTTTCTGTATTATGCTTAATAAAATCAAAAGAGAAGTTGATTGTGAAGACGGTAGGCTGATTGGTGAAGATCCGTCTCAGCTGTGCGCGGAGGCTGGCGGGGTTGATGGCAGAGAGGCGGAAATGGTACCAGTCTTGAAGTCTGTTGTGGCGGCTGAATCCGGTACGGATTTGTGGCCAGTGTTGCTGTTACGTCTGAGCAACATCTTCCTCAGAGCTTGAAACAAGGTTTGAAGGGATAAGAACTGGATCCGCATGCCAACTGGAACTTGCAGTTGCAGCGGATGCTTGAGAAGCAGAATGAGGAGTGGCTGGTGGTTCTGATAATGAACTCCCACTTGCTTGGGCCTTCCTCTTAGATTGTTTCGCAGCTGGTGCGTCCTTTGAAGTCGTAACGCTGCATTTACGGTTGTTTGTTTGTTGTTGTTGATGAGCAGTGCGGACATGCACGTTGTAAGGTGCACGATTGTGGAATGTTTCTCCACAGGCTGTGCAAGTTAACGTGCTTCTCGTGGGCTTTCAGGTGGTGATTGAGAGCAGATTTGTCTGAAAACGTCTTTTCACAGCAGGTGCATTCGAATAGTTTCTCTCTGGTGTGAAAGCGTCTACGTCGATTTAAGTTGTCTGAGCAGTCAAAAGTCTTGCCACAGGTGTTGCAGCGATGTTCTTTGCAAGGTTTTTTGGCTGCAGGTTCACCATCCCCGGATTGAATTTTCTACAAGTAGTGAATATGAAGCTAAAGCTAAACTAACAAGAATGTGTTTCTCCGATAAACCATATTTTTTCTGCAATCAGCGCGATAACTCAACAATTAGATGGTTTGTTTTGATGTTGAATTTGCACAATAAATTTACTTTAATGTGCACTGATCCACAACACAACTGACTTTCAGAGATCATAATCAGGCGGATACTATTATAATAACTGCTAGATTGCTATCAACTGCTTAGTGGAAATAACTTAAGATGCTCTGACAAAAGACCTGTTTGAGTATGTAAAACGCTGTCTATTTTCTTCAACTCAGTTTGATGATTGAATATTTAAGCAATGCTTTGTTTTTTTATTTTGAATAAAAGAATAGAACAAATTTCAATACGGGTGCAATCATCCACAAAAAAGAAATCACTTTCAGAGAAGATAATACTGAAAATTCCAAAAATAAGCCTCAGGGCTTATATTTTTCAAAGGCCCTTTTGGAGGGGCTTATATTCGGAGGGGCTTATCTACAGAGGGAAGTTTGCGTTTCAAAATCGATTGGGCTAGCCTTATAGTTGGAAGTAACTTTACCGTTTTTGCTTTGTTTTACTTTGTATGTGAGGGCACTTTTCCAAGTACAAGCCCCTGGGGTCTTATATTTGGAGGGGCTATTTAACGGAGGGTTTTTTGTGTTATCGGTTTGGGGGGCTTATACACGGAGGGGCTTATTTTCGAAATTTTACGGTATTTGATCAGCGAAAAGCAGAATTGATAACTAAGAATAAACTATTTAGGCCTTCAAATCATAAATAGCAAGCCAACTGTAACTTTTATATTCTTTTGACTCATACACAATGGAATTAATGATATTGTTTTTTTTTTTGCACGAGCCTAAACAATTTCACTTTCAAAAGGTATAAATTTCAAAAACTTTAATTGGAAATGGAACATTTGCACTCAGCGTATTCTAAAGAAATGAAAGTAAAAGATTACTTACGGTTTCCAAAGGATCCCAAGCCAGTTTTTCATTTGCGTCACCGTAACACTGTAAATGAATAACAGAAATAGACACGAGTGGTTGAACAAACGCAAACTTAAATTCCGTGAAAGAAAAATAATTCATTGATCATGAATACTTACCTCATCCAGCAAATCATTTTGCTAAGGTTCAGATTCCTCTGATACAGGTGACTGATTATTCTATATAAAAGAAATATACGGAGGTTATTAAAGTTCTAAGAGTGAAAAATTTGCAAACTCTCCTGTATAAAACGTGCTTTACTACAAACAGCAAGTCATACACCCCCCAGCATCTATGGTAAACGAGAATAATAATAATGATCAGTTTTTGTTGTTCAAACTTACAACCGACAAAAACTTCAGACAAAATATACTTACAAAATTGCCGAGCTGATAAAGATCATTAGCTCAATCGTTCCCATTGTCTTGGTTGGTTTCAATCTGTGAGGTACAAGGTTTAGTAAAGATTAATGAATACTCGTCATTTCAATGTCAACCGTAAACCGTCATCAGAAAAGAACTAAGAGGGAATAGAATACTTACTGGTATCTCTTGCGCTGTGAGTTCCGACAGCTGAGCATATGCCATTGGAATCCACCCATTGGGAATTAAAATAGACTTGGTTAATATTTCCCAATCGTGGGTCGAGGAACAGGCGTTCAAAAGAGGTTGCAACTCACGAACATCCATAACGATAGCCATAGTCGTGAGAAAAAGTGAATAAGCGTTTTCTCAAACATGCAAACTCAAAGGTAATGACTTTGTGCCCCCTGGCTTCGTTGTATACTTCTGTAAGGGCTTGCAAGGCTTCTAAAAATTCTTCCATGGAGTCTGAATGATGTACCTTGTCACCATCTTCTTCACTCAACCAGCAAATAAGGTTGGGGACGTACTTGCGGTCTTCTGATAGGGCTCATTCGATATTGGCAAACACTAAGATAGGGCGTGGTGGGGGGGGCACTGTTTTCGTTCTCGTTCATCTTCACATTGCCATTGTAACGGTTCTTCTAAGGGGTCGTCTTCTTGTTCTTGCGGTTCTTCTTCAACAATGGGTTGAATATAACAAC